GCGTTTAGGTGCACCAGGTCTGTCCAGCGTCCTCCCCCGCCACCTGATCCAACTCACCACCAGGTGGTGATCAGTTGACAGATCATGGAGAACATGTAAATCTATTATTTGCATTGTCTGAGTGACTATGACAAATGTCACATGCACCACAACAGGATACATCCATTAATGCAACCATGCTGCGACAGGCGTCAATACTGAAGCCTCCAGATTTCAGGTCTCCTAAATGAAACAGAAATATATATTTCAGCAATATACAGTATAACTATAGGTCTTGAGCTCTTAAGCTGTAGTCTCTTGAAGTCCAAACCTTTTAGGATGTTTTCATTTAGAAGCCTCTGAAGCTGCTCAGCATCCACTTCTTCATACTGGAAACGAAAACAGGATTTCTCTTATACTTCTGTTTATGAGCCTCGGTCACTTGTTAACGTCCAAATTAAACTGTCCACACACACTAGCAAACACACACTCTGACTAATTTGTGTATTGCTGTAATTTCTCTTTTACAATACAAAATCTTTGCTAGCTTTAGCAAAACTCTAACCCATCAAGCTAAATATTACGAGTTGTAATCCAGTTATTTCAAGTTGCCCAGAAATAATTATTTTAGATGGAAAAGGTGGATACATATTTTGATGATTAGCACTGAAGTAATGCATGGCTATTAGTTCAGCATGTGGGTGCAATTCTAGGGCCACTGTTATTCACAGTTCTCATAATTAAGTGAGTTACACATTGATTTTTGTCGTGTCTGGAAACATCTAAGTGCTTTCAAAAAAGAGTTGAACTCAGATTAAAACCCTTTTTTAAAAAAAAAAAATGTTTCCAATAAAGCTGGCTAACATTACTTAGCCAGTTAAATATTGCTACTATTCATAGGATGCTAAATTAGAAAAAGTTTGTCTATAAATACCTTGGTTTTATTACTATGGACACTGAACTTGTCTTAAAGAAATGTGTAATTTAGAGCTATACAATGCTAATATTTAAACAGTCTTTTTCCATTTTCATATTTTATTTCTGTCTTATTTATATCAACTTAGTTCTTCAGTAAGTTAAGCTTTCTTCACCCTACTGACCCAATAATGATGTGTCATACAAGATATGCATATTTTGATCCTAGCTTAAATTGCTACTAAATAACCAACAGTGAGAAGACAACTAAACCACAAGTGCATCTTCAAAGTAGCCAAAAAATTAATCAGGATGATTAAGCTTTCACTTTAAAATTTCTCACTTTTATACACAACTGATGTTCTGTTGTGGATTTTTTTAGTTGAGAACAAATGTAACGAAATGCATTTAAACTTTCGCGTTAGCACGTTTTATGTTCATTGTATACAGAAGTCAAACAGTTTTATTTTGTGCACTGAAGTATAATAGTTAGTCAAACCTCTCACAGATAAGTTTTAGATAAGGATGAAAAAAATCTTATCAAACAAACAAAAGTTTCCACTGTGTGATAAAACTCAGTCTATATAAGAGAAATAGTAAACTCAACAGTGTCAAGTATGCTCGTGAGAAAATAACAGGAAGTTACCTTGTCAGAGTGTTTATGGAAAAACTCTCTCCTTTGTTCATCATCTTGTTGATTTTTTACCTTGACCTGAAACAGAGAAATTAAATTCTGTGTTAAACAAAAAGCTATTTACATATCATTTAGCATATAACACAACCGCAACCAGACGTGATTTATTGTTGAACACCCACCTTCTCATCAAGCTCATGTTTATGATCACCAGAATTATCACTGCAGAGAAAGAAAAAAATCACAATTTATTTGTTCTGGTCTGTTTTGCATATATCTCATGCAGATTGTTCCAATTTAGCAATGTTGTGTTTGCACAAACAATGAGCGTGCATACTAGCAGTTGGTCTCTGATTTTGCGTGGATGGTCAGGATAAAGGAGGCTGTCTCGTTGGGATTGAAGGTGGATGGCACAATCAAGTATTCCCCATGCTTTAACATAAAGAACTCCATCACCTCACGGGCATTCAGGTAGGTTTTAGTTTGGGCAACAGGTGCCCGGGATTTGAAGAACTCCTCTGTAAACTTCCCTCTCTGTGTCTTATACTGAAATAGCAGGTAGATATGTCAGTTATCTTACACCATTTAAAGTGGGACTGCTGTATCTGTAAATGGGAACTGGATACAAACTGTTTCTTACTTTTTCAGTCACCTTGAAGGAAATCAGTGCAAGTTGGTTCATGTTCAGAATAAGAAATATACTCAGTTAGTGTCAGAATACAACCCTAATGAAATCTGTATGCATCTTTTACTAATAATGATATGCTCTTCAAAGATGATGACAACTGAGCCAAAGGTTTAATCATTGAAGGAATAGCAGTGTAACCTTCAAGTTGAGGTTATCCTTATCACCATCCTGATGTGCAATACCTTTGCAACTTGGAAACGATTCAAAACATAAAAGTGTCATGACATTTCCATATTAGGCAGCAAAGAGTAATGTTTACCTCAAATATGAAAAACCCAATGTGGAGGTTTTGCGCCAGGTGTCTGTTCCTTTTTTCGGGCTTTTGCATGAGAGACACCATTATGTTTTTATCACCGTCTTTCTCTGAGTATCCACCGCAAATTTTGAAACGACACTGTGGATTAGTCCAGAAACTGTCTAGAAAGCAAATAAAAAACATGGTTTATTTGCTGGACACAAAAAAATGAAAGTTCAAAAATGAACCTGAAAGCAAGGCTGGTTAAATAGTCCAGGTCAGGTGGGTGAAAGGTTCACTGAACTTTTGTTTAATAAATGACAAAGTCATGCAATTAAATGAGCTATATAGATAATATACTGTGGAAAAGACTTTACAACTCTGTTTATGGGTCTGTATTGTTATGGATGTCCAACTTATTCTTTCCATTCACAAGAAAAAACTATGTTACCATATTTGGGCTTTTAATATTGTAACATATTTTTTACTACTGGTTACAGAATTTTAATACCTACAATACTTGGAAAAAATAGCTGAAATTTGCATTCACATTTTTTTTAGTTTAACATAACAGAGTTATGTTAAACTAAAAAAAATTAAGCAATGACCTTAATACTAACTACACTAACTAAAGAACTTGTTGCCCTATTGGACCCATTGTTAATTTTAGGGTCCGCATCAAGACTAAAAGAATAATCTTATTTAATAATTGCTGAAATAAATTCCTACATAGCACCTATGACCTTCAGGACTCTTTTATCTCTTTTAATTGTCTATTTCATCAGATATAATAAGATGGATAAAGAAACCGAGGTTCATAAAAATCTTAAATGTGAATCTGTTAAATATTAAAATCACACAAACACTACATGTATGTGTTCGTGCTTTACCAATTTGTGCTTATTTCGGTACATTCTTTCTAGTATACACTCTCGGTCAAAAGTTTTAGAACATCCCAATTTTCCCAATTATTTATTGCAATTCAAGTCATTCAAGTCCAGTGAATAGCTTGAAATGGTACAAAGGTAAGTGAACTACCGGAGATAAAAAAGATAAATAAATAAGATTTTTTTTTAAATGGCGTGGTTAATGTACAAATTAATGTACATTTTTGGAATTATACACAAAGACCTTTTTCATGGAACACAAAATGGGTTAGCAATTAAAAGCTGTGCTGGGACAATGGAGGTTGATCAAGCTTTGAAAACTTCAATTACTGATTCCTACATGGGTTCCAACTTTTCTGGATTCCTTCCAACCCCCTCTGTCTGCATAAAAGCAGTATGAAACACACTGTGGTACCATACCCTTGTGATCAGTTGAACAGTACCGTACTGCAGAAAGCACTGTGTTGCTACAAAAATGGCCAGAAAAATGCAATTAACAATGGAAGTGAGACAGACCATCATAACGCTTAAAAATGTATCCTGAAAAATTGATTCTGTTCATCTGGACGAAGCGTTTTCAGTCGGAGAAACATTTCATGACAGTGAGTACTGTTTTCTTCCCCATCAAAAGGCACTCAGAAACTGGAGCAAACTCTGACAGGAAGAGGTCTGGCAGACCCAAAGCCACAAATGGTAAATGGCCTGCATTTGTATAGCGCTTTTCTAGTCCATAGGACCCCAAAGCGCTTTACACTACATTCAGTCATTCACCCATTCACACACTGGCGATAGCAAGCTACATTGTAGCCACAGCTGCCCTGGGGCGCACTGACAGAGGCAAGGCTGCCGGACACAGGCGCCACCGGGCCCTCTGACCACCACCAGTAGGCAAACATGGGGTTAGTATCTTGCCCAAGGATATTTGGCATGCAGCCTGGGATTGAACCACGGACCTTCTGATTAGTGGCTGACCTGCTCTGCCACCTGAGCTACAGCCACCTCAAATAACTCAGAGGACACGTTTCTGAGAAACTACGCGGCTCACAGGACAACAGCTTCAAGCACAGTTTAATAGTGGTCATAGTAAGCAAGTCTCAGTTTCAACTGTGAAGAGAAGACTTCGAGCTGCAGGTTTGACAGGACAATGCTAAGACATCAGAATAAGACAAAGAGGCTTGCCTGGGCCATGAAACATCGCCACTGGACTACTGAAGACTGGAAGAAAGGTATTGTGGACTGATGAATCAAAATTTGAACTCTTCGGTTCACCATGCAGGATCTTTGTACTCAAGTAGGGGAAGAATGGTTCCACAGTGTGTGGCATCAACTGTCAAACATGGAAGAGGAAGTGTGATGGTCTCAGGCTGTTTTGCTGGATCCAGGGTGGGTGACTTGTACATAGTGAGAGGCACCCTAAACCAAAACAGCTACCAAAGCAATCTGCAGCGCCATGCAATACCCTCTAGTATGCACCTAGTTGTTCAGGTGTTCATCCTACAGCAAGATAATGAACCAAAACATAAATCCAAGCTATGCCACAACTACCTCAGGAAAAAAAGAACAAGATAAGCTTGAAAACATGGAGTGTCCAGGACAGTCTCCAGAATTAAATCCCATCGAGCTGGTTTGGGATGAACTGGACAGAAGAGTGAAGAGCAAAGCAACCTACAAGTGCCACACATTTATGGGAACTTCTGCAACAGATATGGGAAGAACTTTCAGAATAATATTTGATTTCTATTGTAGAACGAATGACACAGGTGTGTCCAGCTGTTCTATGGTAAATGGTTATTGGACTGATTCTTATATAGAGCTTTTCTCTCCTGGAGCACTCAAAGCGCTTTGTATCTGCCAACGGTGGCTACTTTGAAGAGTCAAAGTTGATAGTACATTTTGGTCTCTAAATTGATTCCATGATTTATTTTTTTAACTCCAACTGCTTATTTGAACAATGTTTTCATTTCAGAGTGCAATGAGACAGTAAAATGCATAATTTTCACAAAAAATAAATAAAATTGGGGTGTTCTAAAACTTTCAACTGATACTGTATGTATTTAATGTTTCAACGCATTTGCAATGAGATTTAATACCTCTGTAATTAAGGCAACCTCCAGCAGTGGTTCCTGCAACCCATCGGCCCTCATACACAGAGGTCGTCCACTGACTAGAGTCACTTTCATTAAAGAAGTCAGGAGACAGCCCGCAGATGTCAATATCTGCGTAGAACTTACAGAAATCTTCAAAGGTCATCCTGTAAAAATCAGATGAATTTTGAGATTACTTGTTTTACATCTGGATGGGCTGTTAGGGTACAATGCAAAAAGTGTTTGTATTTTGTGTTTGATTTTTTGTTTTTTAATTTCACAAGTTTTCTTACCAAAACTCTCCATCATCAGCCACTGAAAGGCACATTTCACGGTCTTCAGGACTCACAGTTTGCCACAGAGGAGACCTCAAAGAAAATTTGTCATTTTATTTAGACAAAGAGACAGCTTTTCAAAATTCTTTTGAATATTCAAAGGGAGTTCAGAAAAGCTCTCCTGCATGCGTCCACAGCCATACTTGAAATATAATCTTTACACTAGATAGAAGGCTACCACATAGGTTTTGACATTGATTTGCTTTCCATCTTTTAAGTTGAGAGCCATGAGTGTGAGTCTGACTTACCGATCACTCCAGTCTCCTTTCCACTCTCCTTTACCCCAGGGATTCCACAAACGCACAAGGTATACGATTTTTCCTCGACTCATCATCTGACCGCAAACCACCATTTTTTTTTGTTAATTTTAAGTATCATTTGATTTTTTTTTCTATTTCCAGTACAAATCTTTACCTCTTTGATACCTGTCACAGTGTATGCATGGCCTGCAACCAGTCCATTTGGTAATATTTCGTTACCAGATGTCTCCTACAAGACAAAAGCATTTGCCACTAGTAAAGCAGAATATTATACATTAAGAACATCAACTTCTATTGATGATGATGAAGCCAATAAATCATTTTACGTGTGCAAGTGACTGTGAAATTGTTTGCTTGTGGCTAAATTCGACACTATTTTGCTCAGATGTTTTTCAAAATGTTATTTCCTTGCAGAGTTAAATATATACTAAATGTCAGACTGGCATGAGTACGCACAATAACTGAACAAAAGCAGCTTTGGTGTCTTAAAACAGGACCCATTCATTTATATCAAACTGGCTCATGTAAGCAAAGGTTTTCCAGCATTTGAGTCTTGATTCTCTGTCTATAGCACACACAGAGCCATCCCTGCCTTGCCAATGAACTTTATCCTTGGGTAATGTCAAGACCATGTTATAAGTGTTACAAACAGTCGTTTTATAGCGGCATTTATAAAGTGACTGTAATAAAAGCTTATAACCATGACTAAGGTCTTTTTAGCTGCTTTGGCAGATGTTTAAACCTCTGTCTCTAGGTAGATTCTGACAAAATGATACCAAAACTGCGCCGGATACAGTTATAAAACTTTATAGGTGTTTAGTGAGATCAAAATGAAAGTATAAAAACAAGTCCTGTATGAGTGAGTATAGGGCAGCAGTAGTATCAGGGACATTAAGCCAATGCTGGTGCTTCTGTGTGGTGTAGTTCTACTTACCCTGGGAGGTGTACCACTGCCCATCAGTGTGTTTGATTTGCCAGCTCTGCAGATCAGCCCCCACAGGCTTGGACTCGGTTGTGACAGCTCGATGTTAATGTGGACGCCACCGGTGAAGTCCATCATAGCCTCTGAAGGAGTTCCAGCAATCATGTCGGAGTAGGAACCACAAACCCTGACAGGATAATACAGTTTTTTTAATATTTAGAGAAATCATACCTTCAACTCTCATTATGTCTAAGATTAAGATTGCATACTTAGCATAGGCTTTCTCCAGGAGAGCAGGCCAGAACTCATTTTGGTTTTTGGAATGAACAAAGATTAGTCTGCCATTGATTGTTGGTAGTTTGTCATCAATGACCACATCCTCCCACTGCCCAAATCTCCAGAACTGGGGGGAAAAAGAATCTAGCATGTCACTCTTGATTTATTATTTAAAAAAAAAAAAATGTCTTGTAGCGTGTTGGCGCTCGACCTCGGTCTGTAAAAGTGATGATAGATGAAAAGATGATTTGGGCCAGGAATTTTGTTCCCTTTTAGGCCAATCTGATATTTAGGAAAATGCATATCCAGCAATTTATTTCCTCTCCTGTGACCCTAAAAGTTGCAGGATTCTGCATTTACGTTACACACAGTTTAGTTTCAACATGAAAATGTGTTAAAATAAAATATAAGCAGTAAAAAAAATTTAAAACCCATAGCACATGCTTTTTAGCTAGTTTATTCTGCTGTGGTTAAAATACAAACAAAAAGGAACATCTCAAAAATAAATAAATAAATCACTAAGTATTTTTGACAGGTGTGTTTTTATTGAACACAAGTAGTGATCAATAAAAATAATTTGTGTTGTTATATGTTGGTGTTTACCCTGAAGTGAAAAATCCCACAGTAGTTCTCATCAAATCTTTGTTCAAGCGGGACAACTTCTTCGAAAATGGATTTCTGGAACGTCAGCGCTCCGATTGACGCAAGAAACCAGCAGTTTCCTGTTCAAAAATATTCTCAGGGTTACCACAGGAAATCAGGTGAGGAGAACAATAAATATATTCATGAAGACATTTCCCTACCTAGTTTCCCTTGACCAAAATCAAACCTGGAGACTCCGTCAAGTACTAAGACTGGAAAACGAACAATTTCCTGAAAAAGGGAGAGTGCTGATCAGGAAGTAAAGTTCTGGAAGTGTTAAAGGAAAGGATGCACATTTCTTTTAGTGTATCCTTCACAAAAATGTGCATTTATTCATCCACACTGAAATAATCTTTCAATTATTTTAAGAGTCACAATAGCATGTTGAAGACTGTTGTTTCGTTGAACCAAACAAAAAAGCATACCTGAAATCTGTTTTTGGAAAGTATAAGAGAAGGTATTACTTGTACTTAAAGCTGCAGTGTATCAAATATCTGTGTCGAGCTCTGACAAACTAAACCAGAAACCTGACTGTGCTGTTTTTGAACCTTAGAATAAGAAATTCTTTGTGTAGTGAGACTCAATCTAAATGCAGTGAAAGTACTAAAACTGAATTGCTCTTTTTATAATCAGCTGAGCAGTTTAGCTTTACAAAATTACACTCACTGCTGGTCGCCGCCACTCCACACAGGCCAGTTCAGAAGGGCTCAGTATGCCATGGCGTAGTATCTCTTGACCAATGGACCTTCTGTCAGGTAGAAATGTCTCATCAATGAAGCTTACTCCTCTTGTGAGGCAGTACTGTTTCAACTGCTCGTAGTCTTGGCCCAAGAACTTCTGGGGCTTGGTGAATTTTCCGAAACCGTCCTTCTTGTAGCGGGCCTCTATGATGTTCAAGCATACACCGGGAGGAGGCATCACTGCAGTTTTTGAACTGTTTACAAGAATTTTGCATTAAAAATCCAGAAAATATAAGAGATCAAAGAACGCAGCACTACCTATTTAGGTTGGGTATAGATCAAGGGTGTAGGAATGGCATTTCAAAATGGGAAGTCATGACAGAAATGATACATATTTTAAATAAATATAATGAGCTACAGTATGATGGAAAAAGATAATTCCATTATGGTGCATAAAATCATATTTGCAGCTCGCTGAAAAAGAGCAAAAATGAGTTCAAACTTTAGATAGTTCATGTGAAATTATTGCAAATTGCGGTTCGCCCAACTATTATGAAACATAGTTTACAACAAGATTATTATTAACATTATAATACTAATAATAATTAGGCATTTTTGAGAACTTTTTTGTCAGGAAAACAAGATTAAAGGCTTTTATATTAATTATTATGTTATATTGTTCCAAACATTAAAAATATATGTAAAATGTAAAGGTTTTCATTATGTTGGACCTTATTTGCACCCTGAATGGAAAAATTTTAAAGTATACCTTTAACATTCATTCTTTTTCAGGGGCTTCTCTTTTGTTAGTGTCTAATAATGTAAACAAATTCTGCTATAAACACTTTTTTTATGATAGTCTTAAAAATATAATATCTTCATGCATAAACAATACCTTGTAAGGTCAACTGTGTTAGGATGCCTGGGTCGTTGACCCAGGGTTTTTGAGTTTATTATATTATTTATACTTTCTAGTCTTTGGTTTCTTTGAGTTCTGTCTTATGGTTTATGTCTCTGTCTTCTTTAGTTGCTCTGTCTTCCTATCACCTGTATCCCCTTGTCTAGTTCGCGTCTCTGTGTATCCTTAGTTCCTATATCCCCGTGTTCAGTCAGTGTTTGTGTCTGCCCTGGTCCCACATCTCTGTTCCCTCTGTAGTGCCTGCATGTGAGTCTGTGTTATGTGTTTCCTGTTTTACTTTGAAGGTCTCTGTCTTATCTCAGTGTGTTCATTCCCTGATTGCTCCTTCTGTGTATTTAAGCCCTGTGTTTCTCTGTGTCCGTGTCGCAATCTACTGTTTACCTTGCTGTGTGTTCTGTCATTCCTCCAGTTTAAGTTTATTTTGAGTTTTTCCAGTTATGTTATATTTTGAGTATCACATTAAAGCCATTTTGAGTTCACGACTGTCTCCGGAGTCTGCACCTTGGGTCCTATCCCTGTCCGCACACAGCCGCCACCTAACAAACTGCACCAGTAATAACATTTGAACTTACAAAGCCCATAGTTTGCATTCACAGCAGCAGGAAGGACCACACTGATACAAATGCAAATTAAGGATCATCTGGTTTAAAGTTTTAAAAGCAGGTCTTACCTCACTTACTCAAAAGTGAAAAGCTGTGCAGAAAAAGGTGTAGTTGCGTCGCGGTGAACCGGTGGGTGAGAACCAAGTAGCTTCGACTGTGCATTTAAGCACCTGAGGCTGTGCACGCCGTCCTTATGTTTCTAACACAGATATGAAAATCACCTTTGAACAAACCACGCCTGTGCTGACCTGTAGCTCATAGTAATCTACTTCCTGCAAGCTACTGTATGACCAACAGAGAGAGGACCTAAAGAGAGTTTCACTTCATTCAAGTGACCCTCCACTAGCCCATATTTATGTGTATCATAGTCTTATACGTTTATGTGTTTATGGTATCCACTTTCACGTTTAGAGAACAGCAGTTGCTGTTAATGGTTAGCCTGTCAGCAGTAAAATTGAAAGTACTCACTGCTTGCAGTAGAGTAGAATAGAATAGAATAGAGTGCCTTTATTGTCACTAGACAGATGTACAATGAGATACAGAGCATCTCCTGCTCACTATGGCTGTGGTTCTTGTTGGCTTCCAGTATTTGCAGTCCTCACAGTGTGACTGAAATCTGTTTTTTATATCTTTGTGTGAACCTCAAAAGTTCTATAGTTGATAAATAACTGTTGCCATAAAAAAAAATCAACATTAGTCACCATTTTGAGATGATCTCAGCAGACTCAGTGACGTGCTGAACACATTTAAGAAATCATTCTTTGTTTCTTAAAACAAAGCCCATATATTATATTTGTGTGACAGCCATCCTAAACCAAATTTGTGCCCACACACCTGTCAGACAAAGAGCCACTTTACCCCGTCTGACCCAATTTACTTAGTTAATTACCTTTAAGCAAACATACAAAGAAAACCCCTAATAAGACCTGTTACTGGGAGTCACATGGTCAGTAAACTGTCAGCGTATGTGTCGCTTTAGAACAAACATCCTATGAAATATAGACGTTTGAAGCAAAGTGTCCTGCCCTAAACAGCAGCATGAAATTTATAAATTGAGCACATGGCTTGGACGTATCCCAGGCTAATGTAAGGTGTGTGCCAACTACCATGACACACCTGCCACCATTAGCGTTAGACTTAATGATTATTCACTGTGTAAACAATAGCAGGCACACAGTTGCTTTCTGGTGCTGCTAAGCCTTGTTTAGTTAATAGGTCAAATTTAACAACTGAACTGACATTACACTGGCAAGTCAAGCTGAACTCTCTGTGACTGAAGTTACTAAAGGAACCAATATTGTATTTATAGTTAACCTTTTTTCAAAAAGAAAGTGAAAAAATATGGTTAAAAATAGTTTCTTGAGTCCAGAAGGGCAGCGTCAGCCTACTTTAATGAGCAAAGTTAATTCAAAGGGTAATGAAATATTATATAGGCTGAGATACAGCTACTATTGGTCTGTGTATTATCTGTCAATCCATTCACAATTTAATTCAAGTCATAATTGAATTTTTGTGGTATAGAATAAGAAGTATTTACTAACTCATATTGAATATTATCAAAAGAATTAATTCACATGTTAATTATGTGTTATAATTTATTTTAATGTGAGATGGGTACATTTGCGTGCTACCATCTGCACGGTAGCATGCAAAGAACAACTATAATCTCCCATATTTTAAAACATGTTTAAAAATGTCATCTTTGGACTTTAATACAGGGAATCTGTTACCTGTCTGTCATGAGAGCTCCACCCTGAAACTACACCTTAAAAACACAAAGGCAGATGCACAACAGACGACATCTGCTTTCTACATTTTGACTCTCAAAAAAACAGTCAAATTACTTTGTTTAGACAACGTTTTAAGGTGATTTGAATGTGCTAGTTATCTTTTTTCATAAAGACTATGTGAAAAGTGGATTTATATTTGAATCATTCAAAACAAAAGCAACCATGAACTCACAAAAACTCAAACCCTGGATTCAAAACCGAGCTATTTTCCCATCTTTGCCGTATTAGGTTTTGCATTTATCATTAATCATTCTTGGGCAGCTCATGCTTTGTGACTTGATACTTGCATATTTGCAGAGTTGACTGACTTGGAAGCTTTTAATCATGTAAATGTCTGCATTTCTTCTATTCTTCTCTCCGTTTGTGAACAACAGACAGCTGTACCAGTAAAAAAAAACAGATCAGGGAGGGCTTATTGAATTACGATCACGTGCTGACAGAAGTAGCCTCGGGCATTTACAGGTATGATAAAAACAGCAGAGTTTCTCTCCACCCACAGTCACTGCTGTCTAGCTTTTTGAGGTAAGGCAAGGTACTGTACTCGTACTGTAAACATTCTTAAGCAGCTTGGCTTGCACTTTTTTTTTTACCTCTTTTTGTAACAGTTATGTGGTGTTGGTATTGTTACATTATTAACGCTGAAAAATACTTTACAGTCTTATGTAAAAGACTGTTGTGTAAAGGAGTACACCTACTTAGTGATGTCCTTTGGGCACATCGAAGAAGAAAAACGAGTTTGTGTAATGAGAATTAAAGCTAATCTTTACACTTAATGTTTGTTTTCAACAGCTTTCAAACCCTGCAGCTATGCCTCCTCCAGGTGTGTGCATGAACATCATCAGTGCACGCCACATGAAAAATGGCTACGGGACTGTCACCAACCCCGAGAGGTTCCTAAACCAAGACTTCCACCAGCTGAAACAGTACTGTCTCATCCAACATCTAAGGTACATCGATGAGATGTTTCCCCCTGACAGAAATTCAATCGGCAATGGGATACTGACGCCTTCTGACCTTGACCGAGTGGTGTGGCTGAGACCAGGGGTGAGTGTTGCATTGGCTGAAAACCCCAAATGCAAGTACATATAATCATGAAAGCTGTTTGAGGAGAGGGTGTGGTCTGTGGCTCTGCTGCAGAGGAGTGGTGGGGCATTGGGTTTGGTGGGCAGTGCCAGTGTAACTGATCACACCAATCGGTCCAGCTCTGCAGCTCCTCTGCAGTGGAGCCGAAGGCCATACCCCCACCACGCCGATGCTCTAACAATCTACAAATTTAGATAGTTAATGCTCTTCATGAAGCATAGAAATCTGCTAATTCATTTGTACGTTGGGTTATTGGAACCTTTGTTTCATGGTGTGCCTGAATGCTTTACCAACCACAAACGAGGATGCACATTTTAGCTGCATGAAGTATTTCTTCAAGGGAAACAAAGACAAAACTCTATGAAACACCAACTGTTAATTTGCCAAATGATTGTTAATGTTTCTTTAACTTCTATAACTTTTGTTGCAGTAAGCCCAATAATAATAATGATGATAATAATAAAGAAATAATAACAATAATCCATAAAGATAAGAGTTTGTTTTGTTATTTCAGAAAATTGTTCCAAATCCATCGTTTGTTGCTGACGGGGTGTCCAGGTTCGACTTTGGTCAAGGTTGGGTTAGTAAGTATACTTATTCTTTCACTTCTTCGTGTCAATCTAACCATAATCAGCACAATTACTACTGCGATATCTGCACAGTAAATCATTCTGACAACTCAACTACATATTTTTACAGAAAACTGCTGGTTTATTGCCTCTATTGGAGCTCTGACATTTCAGAATCACATCTTTGGACAAGTTGTTCCACTTGAGCAAAACTTTCACGAGGATTACTGTGGACTGTTCCACTTCAGGGTATATACAGTACCATAATATCATTCATACCATTGAAAAAGTCAGTGGTAAAATGTTGTCTGTACATTTTAAAGTTGTTTAAGGAATTACTTGAAATATTACGAGTCTTTTGTTTTGATATTCTGCCATTGCCAAAGATAAATATCTAAAAGCAGGTTGCATTAAACAGTGCATAAAACCTTTTCGCTTTCTCTTCTCTCTCAACTGCTTAGTTCTGGAGATTTGGAAAATGGGTGGATGTCATCATTGATGACAAACTACCAACAATTGATGGCAGACTCATTTTTGTCCACTCCAGAGATCCAACTGAATTTTGGCCAGCTTTGCTGGAAAAAGCCTATGCAAAGTATGTAAAAACCCTGTGTTATTTCTCAGTTTACAGTGCTCTTTGTGGGAGTTATTTGTCAGTAAAAATAACAATATATCCACTTTTTTTCAGGGTGTGTGGTTCCTACACAGATATGAATGCTGGAACTCCTGCTGAGGCATTGGTAGACTTCACTGGTGGGGTCCACATTTATATTGATCTGTCAAAGCCCCCTCCAGACCTGTGGGAAATGATGTGTCGAGCTGGTCAATCCAAGTCACTGATGGGTTGTGGGACACCACAGGGTGTAAGCATTGATTTACACCACATAAAGCAACATGCTGCCTTGTAATCTTTGTTTTGAAAACAGTCAGGGGTGTCTGTCTGACTGAAAGATCGGGTGATAAAAAAAGAACCTTCAGAATAATAGCTCTTAGCTCAGAGTTATCTTCTCCCAGCAGAAAAATAAAAACACTGTGTTGGGATTGTTCCAGTGGTTTGATAACTCCCCCATTCACAGCGGCTGGAAATCTACCTGTCACATTAAAGTAAACAGCACCGCCCTGTTTCCCTGAAGTTAAGCGCAATACCTAGAAAGCAGTACAGTTTAATAGAATGAAGAAAATCCCGTACATGTTAATGCAAGAGTGAACCACTCTCAGAGCCATAGTATGTTGTGAAAAGAAAACACTGGTAAATGTTTTTGACGATCATGTTTTTAGAGATATTTTTTATCAGAATTCAAATTAAAGTATAATCAGTGTTTTGCATGTAGTATCTTTCTAAATACCTTAAATTACAGCAGAACAGTACCAATACTTTGTGGGTTGCATTTCTGTTTGTATGAAAGAATCTTCACCTTTTTCATCATGTAGTTTATTTTAATTAATTAATGACCCATAAGTGGCTCCACAGGATCTTGTTTGGCCTCTCAAACAGTAACTACACGGATAAGTCTTTTCAGGCAGAGAGAGCTACTGATACATTAGACTCTGAAATACCTGTCCAGATGGTTTACTCTCATGATGAGTGAAAGCACTTAATCCAGCAGAAGCACGTCTCATATGATGTATGATAATCTTGCACCGTTTGAACCTTCACAAGAATTTAAGAAGCTGTTTGTTTTCCAAATAATGTTGATATATCCTACTGTATGAGCAAATACATGGGGCGACCGTGGCTCAGGGGGTTGGGAAGCGTATCTGTAACCGGAAGGTTGCCGGTTCGATCCCCGGGCTCTCTGTCCTGGTCGTTGTGTCCTTGGGCAAGACACTTTTTACCCTACCGCCTACTGGTGTTGGCCAGAGGGGGATGGCGCGATATGGCAGCCTCGCTTCTGTCAGTCTGAACAAGCTACAGCCGTAGCTTGCCTCCACCAGTGTGTGAATGCGAGAGAGAATGAATAGTGGCATTGTAAAGTGCTTTGGGTGCCTTGAAAAGCGCTATATAAATCCAATCCATTATTATTAAATGAAATTTAATTTGCTGACACACGAGTAATGCTAACATAAGCAACAATATACTGGTTCTTTACTACTTTGAAAAGCCAAAGTTTGCTAATATGATTTTGTTTTCATTTAAAATTTGCCAATTAGCCAACTTAGCTCGTTCTTGTGTGTTCACTATTTATTACCTGCAAGACTCAAAAGCAAAATGATATTTTTCTTAAGTTGTGCTAATTTAAACTGAACTTGGAATGTTTACATGTGTTAATTCTTTGTAGGAGACAACTGAAAACATTGTACTACCAAATGGGCTGGTCCAAAGCCATGCTTACGCTGTCACAGGTGTTAAACAGGTAAGGTCTGGAATTTATTTAAAAGATAATACAACATGCAGCAAACTAAAATAGAGTGGTTGTTAACGTTCTATTAGCAAGAGTTACGTTTTTAAGTTTCTAATGATGTTTACCTCAGCAAACAATTAATTTCATTCATTTTAAGGTAATAAAGGTACCGAGCTTGCATTTACTGTAAAGCAGTGTATTTTTTTTATTAAAGAAACTACAAATGTGGTTTCCTTTGGTGTGCAGATGATTAGCCGAGGGCAGATGGTGAACCTGGTGCGTTTGTGGAATCCCTGGGGCCACGGAGAGTGGAATGGAGACTGGAGTGATCGGTTAGAGCATCTTGCACTCACCATTTCTCTGGTTTTGTACCTCAGGAGAAAAAATACTGAGATAATTTAGCAGTGGTGGAATAGCATTATATATATATATATATATATTATGCTCACAGGGAAGTATCAAGAAGTCCTGTGTGTTTTGTTTTAGTAATTTCCTCAGTGATAAACTTAAGGGGCGATCGTGGCTCAAAGAGTTGGCAGTTCGTCTTGTAACTGGAAGGCTGCCGGTTCGAATCCCGGCTCGGATAGTCTCGGTCATTGTGTCCTTGGGCAAGACACTTCACCTACCTACTGGTCTTCTGTCAGTCTGCCCCAGGGCAGCTGTGGCTACAACTGTAGTTTGCCTCCACCAGTGAGTGAATGAATAGTGGAATTGTAAAGCGCTTTGAGGGCCCTGTAAAGCGCTATATAAATGCATTATTATAAATACATTTTTAGGCATGCAAGGAAGGGCTGAGGATAGCTGAGGATATGTGGATCAGAGCCATGAGAAGCTTTTGTGTTGGTTTCTTATCAGCGTAATCTCTTAATTATGAACTTCTTATGTAAGTGAAGAAAAAAAACCCACAGATGGCAAGTTTTGACAGGACTTGGAGGTTTTATTCTAGAGTTTCTTATTTTGAAATACTTGATGATTTTAGGTGTGGTTTGTGGTTTGGAGGCATTCTCTAATGGCTCTGTTTGAAACTATTGAAACAAGGTCTGTCTTGCACACGAGGCAGAAGAAAAAGTCTCCTGACAGCTCTGAAAGACTCTTTGTTGACTGCAAAGGTCACTAATTTCCCACACATCATCCACATAAGTAGAGAGGAGTAGTTGTAGCTTGAATGAGCTTAAATTTGAAAAGTTTAGAATATGACAATATTGTATTCTTAATATGCCTCCTCTTCCTTCTCTGAAAAATTTCCAAAAAGGTCACCTCTGTGGCAAACTGTGAGTCCTCAAGATCGAGATATGTGCCTAGCAGTCTATGATGACGGCGAGTTTTGGTAAGAAAAATCAAAATGTGACAAATGCAACACAGTAATTAGTTACACAATAATAAGTTCTTACCATAATTAAACAAAAGAAGAACAAAAAGATGCTTTCTAACCCTAAGTACTCAAATGTATTTGTGTTATACATCTCTATGCTCAAATGCTTAAAAGTTAAATTAGATTATATAGTTAGTTTCTTTGAACATAGTTTAATAGAATAATAGAATAATAGAATAATAGAATAATATAAATAATAGAATAGCTATTCGAGGGCAAAAGAGTCTATAGAGTTAGAATTTGACTTCCAGTGAAAGCTGCTAAACAAAAGCTGCTACGCTTTTGTGTAGATTCCATTAAATCAACAAATTGTTGCAGAATACATGCTTTTTATATTTCTGTTCATTTTTTGTTATCGTTCATTATCACGAAACTGCCAGAACTCATTATTACCTAACTTTATATCTGTTTTCAAGGATGAGTCTGAAAGACTTCTGTAAGACCTATTCAAAGCTCGACATCTGCTGCATGTGTCCTGACTTCCTGGATGGAAACTCTACCTGTCACTGGAAAACCTCCATTTATGAAGGTCGATGGGTTGCAGGAACCACTGCTGGAGGCTGCATGAAGAACCCTGGTATATTCAAAAGCTCTAATAAGTTAAAGCCTCATTAAATGCCTTAGTTATGGAAATAAATGATCTCTTTGCTACATCCATTTGCACAGCACCACATGCCTTTTAGCAATTCTAAACTAATTGCAACTATCATTTATTTCCTTTGCGCTATAATCAATCTTTGTAGACTACAGTGTGACCAAAATCCTGACCATACAATCTCACTGACTCTGAAAGGGTTCCTTCGAAGACGGGAACAGGTCTGTGACCACCAGCAGTCAGTTATCATCTTCAAAGTGACTTTGATGCTTCAAAATACCAATAAAACATATAAATATGATCAAATGGTAACCAGAGATAAGCACAGGAGTCTGGCAGTGATTGTAGTCAGAGGATAATTTTTTTTGGAGACAGGGTACTTCCTAACATATCATGTGGCCTATCCAATGACCTTGGAGGTGCCAAGGCCAAGGAAGTGCTATTTTTACTCTAGTGTGACTGAGCCATTAAATATAATTGCAATAATTTGGGAACTGTGAAGAGAAAGTGTCTTATTTCTGTGGAGTCAGTCTATCATCTTGTAGCTGCTTGTTAAGGTTTACTTAATAATAATAATAATAATAATAGATTAATGGAAAACTCCAAAATGATTTCCTTCTTTGCTTTTCAGAGAGCTTCTGGACAAATCCACAGTATCGGGTCAAGATTGATGAATTATCCAGTGAATGTGCTGGGAAACAGGGTGAAGTCAACATGCTGGTGTCTCTCATGCAAAAGCCAGATAAAAGGAATAGACGCCTGGTCCAGAACCTCTACATTGGATTTTCTGTATTTGAGGTAAAGATTAGCCTTTATTGTTTCCATCACACTGGTTAGATTGGTGTACTCTGCACTGCATGTGTAGAAGTCATGTAGTAAACTAATGAAAAGTGGGAGTTTTGTGCCTCATTTACAAAGAACCCTTCAATTCCTAAAGGTAATCATTAGTTTCCATTTAGCTTTTATAAAGACATAATTCACGTGATCTAATTTTTTTT